AAGGCAGCCCTCCCCAGAAACCCTTTGCAAAGGCTTTGGGAGTACATGAAGGAGAGCTTTCTGGAGATGTCCCTGGAGGATTTCCGCTCCATCCCCATACACATTAACAGACTTTTCCAGTAGCTGTACTGGCCGCGATTGCCAGGGCAAATTAATCATTAAACACGCTTGCTTTTAAACCATGTGTAATATTTACAAAGGTATACTCACCAGAGGTCCCCTGTGTGCCCTCAGGGTCTGGGAGCACGCCTTGGGTGAGTTCGTGGATTACTGGCTCCAGGTCCAGGGTGATAAACATATCCTGGCTGTTGGGGAAACCGGTTTCTCTGCTTCCTTGCTGCTGTGAGCTATCTACATTATCTTCATCCTCATCTTCCTCGTATCACAACCCGCTTCCCTGTTGCGTGTTTCTCCATTGACAGAGTCATAGCACACGGTTGGGGTAGTGGTGGCTGCACCCCCTAGGATCGTATGCAGCTCCACGTAGAAGCGGCTTGTTTGCGGCTCTGCCCCGGACCTTCTGTTTGCCTCTCTGACTTTGTGGTAGGCTTGCCTTAGCTCCTTAATTTTCACGCGGCACTGCTGTGCGTCCCTGTTATGGCCTCTGTCCTTCATGGCCTTGGAGACCTTTTCTAATATTTTGCCATTTCGTTTACTGCTACGGAGGTCAGCTAGCACTGATTCATCTCCCCATATGGCGAGCAGATCCCGTACCTCCCGTTCGGTCCATGATGGAGCTCTTTTGCGATCCTGGGACTCCATCATGGTTACCTGTGCTGATGAGCTCTGCATGGTCACCTGTGCTCTCCTCACTGGGCAAACAGGAAATGAAATTCAAAAGTTCGCGGGGCTTTTCCTGTCTACCTGGTCAGTGCATCTGAGTTAAGAGTGCTGTCCAGAGCGGTCACAATGAAGCACTGTGGGATAGCTCCCGGAGGCCAATAATGTCGAATTCCGTCCACACTACCCCAATTCCGACCCACAAAGGCCTATTATACCACTAATCCCCTCGTCGGAGGTAGAGTAAAGAAACCGGTTTAAAGGGCCCTTTAAGTCGAAAAAAAGGGCTTTGTTGTGTGAATGTGTCCAGGCTTAATTCGAATTAACGCTGCTAAATTCGACCTAAACTCGTAGTGTAGACCAGGCCTAAGTACTGTCACCTGTCATGCAGTTGTTCTCTCTTGCAAATTACTATGCGAGTGCCTGATCCTGAACCATTAGAATTTTTCCATCTACTTTAATGGTACAAAAGTGGGTCCAAAACCTTTTTTGCAACTGTTTTAAAAAGTGATTATAAAAAAATCAGAATATTTGTTAAACATGGGTATTTAGAGGACTTAATTTTAAATACCCTTCTCTTCCAGGTCCTTTTTGTAGTTCTCCAATAAGCACAAATAACGGTGCTGTTGGCAGACCCCATTCCAGCTGTGTAACTAAGTCTCTCTTGCAGCCTATTTATTTATATTTCCACACTGACAGCTTCAGTTTCATCATGTTAACATTTCTTGTTCAAAATATTTACCTTTACAAGGCAGTTCTAAAACTGTTCAATTTCTGATGACAAAGAATCACAGGCCAAGTGTTTTAATGTAATTAAAGAACAATAAAAAAAATTCAGCGTGAATTTTTATGCATGATTGATATGCATGTAAGTGTGTTCACTTGGCCATTTCGAGTTTGGTCTGGGATTATTTTAAAATGACTTGGCCTCTCCATGACCAGTCTTGGGGTCAGTATGAGGCATAGACACCACAGGCCCATGCCAAAGGCAGTAACTTCTGGCACTGTGTGATTAGATCACAATCTCATCTTTAATTTAAATAAAAAAGTTTCTAGTCCTCGAGGTCACAAAGAAAAGCTTGAAAATGTAATCCAGGGTAACTGATGCAGTGACATCTGCCTGAGTCTGTAGGCAATCTGAAACAATAGCTCTTAAAGGGGTGAACTGTACCATGAGTCTCAATGGGGGTTAACCCCAAGAGCCACTGCTCTGGTTTCCACCAAATCCACCCCAGCAGAGGACTCTGTGCAACAGGAGAAGAGTACAGGGGGCCCATCATACCCACCCAAGAAGATATACCTTGATTACTGTGGCAAGTACTGGGGGTGGGGAGAACACCTGCTATTGACTCTGCCTCTCTGTGGAGGAGAGGAGATCCCCGCCAATCATGGGTGAAAGAAGGCAGCACCATAGCACTGCCTTTGCTTCTCTGAAAGGGGAGGGAGCCACCTGCCGCTGCTAAAGGGGAAGGTGCTGGGAGGCCTTATGTTGTGGTGTCTAGGGCCCTGGATTGTTTTATGACAACAGAAATGCTACCATGAGCCAGAGGTGATAATACCATTACTTCTCCCTCTCTGTAGCTTCATATTGTACATTATAACTCTGATAAATATCCCGATGTAACAGCAGCAATAGACAAATCAGATGGGCTAGCAGTTTTGGCTATTCTCATTGAGGTAAGATGCATGCCTTGTGCTTTTTTCATATTTAATAATGCTATAATTAAAGCATCTGTAAGCTTTAAGTACAATTAGATGACTGGGATTAACTTGGAGACCATCAATATTGGCATGTCTGGCTATATGGTCTCTCTCTTCCACTCCACCTACACACACATATAGGGTCAGATTCTGCCCTCAGTTATATTTCTGTGAACTAGGTGTATAGTGCAGGAGAAAAGATTGAGTATTCCCTCAGATTTTAAAATGAAATAACATCAGGCATGTTCATATCCTTTTGAATTTGCTTTCTACAGACTAAGGAGCAGGTGAGTTTCTCACAAATGATAGTAGAAAGTGAAGATCAAGTCTGCACATTTGAATAGTCCCAGATAGTAAAGGCAGTTTTATATGTAGCACAGAACACTTTTTAACACAGCGGGGGTCACCAGGCTGGCAGAACCCTGGCACAGGTAATTAATTATTGAAGACTAGGATATGACCATACCCTTCACAACTAGTACTTCACAGGCACACAGTTCCTTTGTATCAATGAAGCTGGTGGTGACAAAAAAATTATGAGACAAGTAAATTAGTGCGCCTTTCAACACAGCAGGGGGACAGGTTTTCACACCTAACCCTGACACAGAAGCAATTAAATAACCCAGTCAGCAATCTGATGGAACCTCCTATAACTCTGCCAGGCAAACATTTCCAATTACTTTGTGTAAATGTGACCAAAAAAGGCTAGCTATAAACTCAGCACTCAACTAATGAACTTCACAATAGAGCAGATTGAAAAATGTGTTTTCCCCCGACGAACATTTTGACTTTTTGTCAACAAAATTGAAAACTCCAAAACTTTCAGTTTTCCATTGAAAACCTGAAAGTGTTCAAGGAATGCAGACACTTTCTGAGAAAAGTTTTGTTTCTTTGAAAACCCAACTATCAGTCAGAAGGCTTCTGATTTCTCTACAAAATGCTTATTCTATAATGCTACTTAAAAATCAAATAAGGACATCTCCAAATTTAACATTATTTACTTATTTCCAGCTGAGAACTTCAGAAACATGGTGGCTTTCAAAGTTGAACTTAGGATACACTTTTTTCTGGTTGCCAGATGAGTTGCTGAGAATCAGCTCCAAATTATTAAGAAAACAGGCATTGATAAGAAGCTATAGCAGTACGTCTCTTATTGTATATTAGAGTTATGACACTCACCACTGGTCGTGCCCTTTAAAAATGTCACTCTTTATTTTGAATTGCAAGCCGCAGACTAACAATTTCTGGTTGGCAACAGAGAACCCAAAATATGCTACCTATGGCTATGACTAGAAACCTATGCATGATCTGAGAAGCCTGTCAGTGTAGAATTAGGATGTATAAAGTTCTTAAAGGAAACAGACTTCCACTTGTTTGCCCAGCAGGCTAGCCACTAAAAGGCTACCTGTTTTTCCAAACACACACCATAAGGTGTGTTCCAGAATAAAGAATGTAGGTTTCATCTAAAACCTTCCTGGTCTGAAGTTTTCTGCTCCATAATGCTGTTCTGCAGTAAGGGACCAATCCTGGCTATATAAAGGATTGCAAGATGAGACTCTAAGAGGTTACATTTTATGAAGAACTGTGTGGAGTTTCAGCTAATGAGAGTTGTGCAGCTATATGCTTTGGAAATTTATCCTACAGTCAGATATTACTGGTTACTTAGTTTAAGACTACTGTTATTCATTGAGTCCAAGGGCAGAAGGGACTATTAGATCATCTAGTCCAGGGGTCTCAAACTCAAATGACCAGGAAGGCCACATGAGGACTAGTTCATTGTCCCAAGGGCCGCATCACTGACACACACCCCCTTGCTGCCCCCAGCCCTGACCCCACTCCACCCCTTCCATGAGGCCCCCGCCCCTGCCCCGCCTCTTCCCTGCCCCCATTCTAATCCCTTCCCCAAAGTCCCCACCCCCAACTCCACCCCCTCCCTGCCCCCAGAGGGTGCAAGAGGGGTGTGGCGGGGGCTCAGGGCAGGGAGTGCAGAGTGCGGCAGGGGCTCAGGGCAGGGAGTTGGGGTGTGGGGTGCAGGATAGGTGAGGGGTGCGGCAAGGGGTCGGGGTGCAGGGCGTGGCAAGGGGATCAGGGTAGGGGGTACGGG